TGAAAACTGGTGCTTTCATCTTCTGCCAAAACTTGAAGTGATAGTTAGGTAGAATTGGATAGAGGGAGTCACGTGTCATGAGAGTATGTCGCACTCTTATTGGTGGAGAGATAATGCATGATGACTTGCATGATAGATGCATTGGAATCAGTCAATTCCAATGGAGGGGAGATAGAAGGCTTGTGGCATGCATTTTTTTTTGCATATAGAGGGCAGCACTGAATGAGAATAGCTATTTATGTGATAGGAGGTAAGTACCTATAGGAAATACATTTTTCAGTGTAGGAAATATATAACGTATGAAATTTTTCCAGGATAAAGGCTTGATAACTTAAATGCAAGGTTACCCAAAGAAGTGGTAAAAGATGAAGCAGACCATTAGATACTGCTTTTGTAGTTTGTATCTATTTTATGCTCTCCAGACTTCTACTGTCACCAAGAAACAGCTGTACCTTTTCCAACACCACATGAGCAGCATGTATTTGATACTGCTGAAGACTGATATATATGACTTATTGTCAGTATTGTAAATTAATTTGAGTAGTAAGATTACATGAAGTTAAGATTTATTTCAATTAGATATGTTATAGAGCACAAGAAACACATTCTGATTTTCTGTTGTATGAGCTGTCATAATGAAAAATAATAGAAAAAATGCCCCCACCTATCACCATATGAGCTGATATAATCAAATTTGTTAATAATGTAGAACTCTCTGTACCTATTTCAGAAGTAGTCAACACAGGACATGTACTGTAATTCATATATATATATAGGTGTGCTAGATGTTGGCATCAACCATCTTGGGAATTATTACATGGTATGAATAAACACATCACATGGAGTCTTTCATATCTGTCACTATATTCATGTAAATTATCGTAGAATTTAATATGGACCATTTTAGGTCCATTCTCTTACTATGCTCTTCCATTCTTTTTGACATCTTCATATTCCCTGACCTGCTGTCTTTCTCCATGCTCTTACCCTTCTGCCTTTTAAACCTGTAGTCCTTTGTTCCTTGTACCATCTTTAACACACTACCTATTCCTTACTTATTGCCTGTAGCTGTTGATGATCTGATGTGTATGTCATTGACTCTTCCCATATTATTTTCCATCATTCATACATTCTTCTTTATCCTGATTGTTCTTTTCCACCTAAAAAGTTTGCTGCTCATAAAGGAGATAGCACATTCACTCCTATTTTCCTTTTATCCATTTCTCACCTTTGTTCTTGATCTGATCATGATTGCCTTCTCTGTACTGTCCATGCAGTTTGGTGTTATTTAGCCCACACTGCACCTTATTAAGGTTCATGCTCTCACCTATTTATTTCCTGGAATTCCTCCTCTGCCTGAGATATATCTCCCACTACCCTCACAGGATGGCTTCATCAACTCATTTGTTTAGCCTATGGTTCTTTGGATGAAGATTCACATTGACTCTTCAACATAACCTCTCATCAAATCTAACACCTTATTCTCTAGTTGCTGATTTCCATTGTTATTTTGGGGATATTGTGCAGGCTGGCAATGGACAACAACAAATATTTTAGTTGCACATTATTTTCATCATCTGGCTGTTTCTTCTTTGCCAGGCTACCTCCCCTCGCCATTCTACATACAGCTTTGACTGGGTAAGTTCGTTTTCTTTTTCTCTTGCCTTTACAGGGCCCTCCTCCATGTCACAGGATCCCACTACGTGGCATGTGGTGTCTGCCAGAACATACAAACATAAATCTGCACCATGCAGCCATTTCAGGCCTGATAGCATTCACTGATGAGATGGGGTATTCCACAAGACTGCTAGAAGTCTCCTTGCAGTATATTATTTACTAAACAAGGCTCAATCCAGACCATACCTACTCATGGAATATTATGAATAAAGCAGCATTGGAATAGCTGCCCATTCCTCCAGACCTTGTTGAATAAACTGGGACTGGCCTGCTTTTAAAAATAGGGTTTAAACATGTGGTCACTCACTGCACTATCTTAAGGTGTTGTGCTCTTCTGGGCTTCCCAGTGAGCTTTCACCCTCCCTTTTCTTTTAGTAGAGTACAGGTGTCCTTTCCACTCACCTGTTCCTAGCCACTGGGGTGGTAGACCATGGAGACTTCCTCCTGAGTGTTATTACTTCCACTCAGTAGAGAGTAAGGTGGTGGTGTTATATTGGTATAGATGGTGTTGACCCTTCTCCTGTCATGGAACGGATAACAAATTCACAATGCCACCTGGTTTTGGACTGGAGATGACCACCAAGTACAGTTCACTCCTCAGGCTGGCTTTCCCCTATCATACTAGTACATGGATGTCGGTTTCCTGGTGGTCCAGTGTTGCATAGGTATAGGACCAGACAGCATAAGTCTGCACTCATATGGTTGGTAGGGACCTTCCTTCTACCACAGACTAGTCGAACAATATCCGATGCTGCCTGGTTTTTGGACTGGAGTTGACCTGCTACATATGTTTTTCCTCATTTTACCAGTGCCTGAATGTTGGATTCCTGGGTGACCTGGTGTTAGATGTGTGCAGGAACAGCACACGTGCACTCACTTGGTTGGCAGAATGGAGTTTCCTTTTCCCTTCTACTTCCTGGATTTGAGATGATAATGGTAAAGACCCTTCTCCTACCACAGACTGAATGTAAGATACCCTATGCTGCCTGGTTTTGGACTGGAGTTAACCCACCACATGTATGTTCTGACATGCCCTAGCCACACTACACCATTTGGCATGTCTTTATACCATACTTAGATTCTAGACTGTGCTTATTTTCTGCCTGACTTAGTGACACATATCTTCAGTATGCACAAAGAGTGTACCTTGGTCTAGACAAGGTGCAGTCTCTAACAGGTATGTCCCTATACATTTGTATTGTATAGGATGTCACATTCCCTTTGGGCACATTCTGAAGAGAGCTCATCTAGCTAACTTTTGCACTGATTCCTCCACCACTTCAATGTAGTATTCTAGATAATATATGAGAAGAGGTAAGGTATCGTATGGGAAGTTAACGTTTTTCAACACTGAAAATGTATTTCCAATAGATGGATACTTCCTCTCACACTTCCCACCCATCTTACATAGAACATTAGCCATACAATATAGGAGAGACATAAGTTCTTCCTGGGTCCATAAAAATGTGTGAAATCATGCATGGAGAGAGTTATGGTGAAGCTTTCAATTCTATTCCTTTAGCAGCACATTTTATGAATGAAAAGTGGCTTCTAGTACTGTGCTACCTGTCTGATATTTTCAATAAAGTCAATGACCTTATCTTATCACTGCACGGTTGGAATAGCAATATTTTGCTGCTGAATGATAAGATGCTAGCATTTTGCAAAAACACTCAAGCTGTGGAAAAACTAGTTTGAGAATGGAAACTGTGAAATGTTTCCTTGCCTCAGTAAATTTTCGGAAGAAAATGAATTAAGTCATAGTCTTATTAGTGACATTGTTTCTATTCATCTCAAATAATTTCAATGTCATCTACAAATCAATGGGAGAACATAATTGGATCCAGAACCTATTTAATGGCAGTATAACTCCTGAACTGCCAATGGCAACTAAAGAGAAGCTGATAGAACTATTCAGGTGATAAAACACTTCAGGCAGAATTCAAGTCAAAACCTCTTGGAAACTTCTGGATGCTAGCTCACAAAGAATACGTTGACCTCTCATGAAAAGTGAAGGATGTGCATTTATCTTTCACATCAACATACCTGTGCAAGACAGCATTTTCTGCTCTTACAGCAGCCAAAACAAAATAGTGATCTTGTCTGCACATAGAAGGGGATCCCCAAGTTGCTGTGTAAACAATTCAGCCAAGAATGGCCTCAACTTATTCCAAGCTCAAGTTCACCCTTCATACTAATTTGGAGAATAAACTGAAACTGTTTGCCTTATGCTATATACCATTTTATGACATGTTTTATTTTTATATGAGTTGCAGAGGGTGCATAAAAAAAAAGTTTAGATAGGGGGATGCCATAAAAAAAAAGCTTGACAACCTTGGTCTAAATCATAATTTCCCAAACTGTGGGTTATAACACCCATAGAGGTTGTAGATAGTCTCCAAAGGGGGTTGTGATGGTATAAAATATTAATAATTTTTAAATAAGCTAAAACCCAGCTAAGCCCCTTTTAAGTTGTATTAATTGTTGTAAATAAATTTTTAATATCTGGTGTTATAATATAATCTAGGTGGGGTGCCACAAGTAAGAAGACCTGGTTGTGATAAGCAAAGTTTAGGTGACCTTTTTTCAGTTTTCTGTGAAAAAAAAATCAAGAAATGTACAGAGCAAGCTAAACCAATCAACATTAGTTAGCTTGTTTGTGTAAGATGTTGAACCAACAGCTAATTAATCAAGAAGTTTTTCATATTGTACAAGGTGTCCCAGAAGTCTGGACCCATAGGTAAAATAGACATTATATTCTTAAAGTTAAACAAACACATTTCTAATGTCAGTTGTACATATTTCAGGAAAGAAAATACCATGATGGCACAGTATACCAAGAATTTATATGTGTATGGCTGTTAATGGCATGCAATTTGAATAATAAATGGATTAAGAATAAATTGTGTATTTTTCCCTATGGTCCAGACTACTGGGACACCCTGTACATTTAGATCATGATTGTAAGAATAATATTGATTGGTGTTGGTTAAAGAGATTTCATAATTTCATTTACACTGAAAAACTAAACAGATTAAGTTCAAGTTAAATGTAGTACACTATGAAAATAATCTATCTTCTTGATTTACTGTACTTATTAAGTTGTCATGATATTATTCTCTCTCTCTGCATAACAGTCACAAATTAGCATCCTTCAGGAAGAAATAAAGAAAAGAGAACTTCAGCAGCAGCATGCAGAAGCTAGTCATGAACGTCTATTAGCAATCATTACAGAGATGGAGAAAACTGAAGAACAAAAAGATAATGCACTAAAGTAATTTATATTTGTGTACTTGTCATATTAAAACAGGTGTGGACTTTTATTGGCAACTAACAGTATTCCTACCAGAGGACTAAAAAATACATTGATAACTGATTTACAATACATAAATAAGATATAATAAACAGTATGAATACAGTTGTTGTAAATTTTGTCACACACCTTTTACTGTACAAATACACTGTAAGCTATTGATAGATTTATTGGGAGAAATCGTTTTCTAAGTCATCAAGTCCTAGATTGGGAATATTTTTTATTCATTTACTTGTTAAACAGTGGTTTAATAACAGAAAATCCTATACTAAATCCATGAACATTTGTAAAATCTAATAAGTTTACCTTTTATTCTATAAATAAAAGAGAAGGACCACCTGTTTATAGTGGAATTGATAGTTTAGTTCTCATAGGCAACTAATGAAATTTAGGTCCATCAAAGTGTGTTTAAAAATTTTTTGAGTAAATTATTATTATTTTTTTTTGCTTAAGTGTAGTTAGTGTTTTGACATGTTTTAGTATTAAATGATTTTGTATTTAAAACTAAGTAAAAAAATGTGGTAATAATTGGTTTGGCATAGCCAATCAAAAATTATGCAGGTTAAGGACTATTTTAGATGAAAGTTTAAAAATAATCATGTTAATTGGTTTTAAAATATATAGCTGCTGAAAGATCACTTTGAATTAGATAAGACATGATTAGAGTTTTTTTTTTTGTACTTGCTAGAGATTAATTTTCTGTATTTTAATAGGATCAGTTTGCTTTTCAGGGATGCACAAAGTAATGTGAAGCATTTATTAGAAGAAATTCAAAGTCTTCAGAATACAGTTGAACAGAATTGGCCACCAGTGAAGCATCCTGACTTGAAATCTATAATCTCTACACTGACAGAGGATTTTATAAGAGAAGAAAATGCCTGTTTTGATAAGTTAAAAGACACAATTACCCAAGAAATGAACCAGTTAGAACAGCTGCACATGTCTATGTAAATAGTTAGCATATAGATGTTTATCAAAATCATTTCTAATAAATGTTAATATTTTTTATACAATGAAATCTTGGTAAACAAAAGACTTGTTTTCCAAATGAGAAGTGTATGTTTCTGATTGTAAATCACCCAAACTAAGCTTCAGCTTTCTCATATACTTCAGGGTAAATACAGTAGTGTATGTACTTATCTAACTAATTAACTACTTCTTTGGTTTAAATTGTATTAATTGTTTGAAGTACAACAACAACAATTTTGTAGTCTTTAATTCCTATGCTTCTCTTATTAAAGGTACAAAATAGTTATTAAGATAAACTGGCAAAGTGTGTAACAGTTTTATTCCGTTTTGATTGTCATGTGTAAAAGATGTTTATGGTAGGATATCATTGGATTACTACATGCAATATATGAGGAGTTTTCCTTTAATATTCACGTGAATGAAAACATTTAAATTGTAACTTAAGTATTGTAGATACAAGTCATGTAGCATCCACATAATGCCACTCCCACTATTACTTGTGGTTTGAAACTCAATCTGACGGGGGTTGTGAAAAAATAAGATAACTGAACTAAAGTACACTATAAAGGATTAACCTACCAACTATTTCATTTCTAAGCAGTTCTTTTGTATAAGTAATAACAGGTGTAAAAAAAAATTTAACATTAGGATACCCACTATAATAAAAATACAATTCTCAGATAAGATAAAACTGTTTTCAGACTAAACTGGAAGTTTAAGAAGTATATTGGAAATGCAAAAATAGCTGAAAATTATAATTATTGTTTTGATAATGACAACTAAGTGTCGCTGAGTTATAAGATGTATAAATATGGATTTGTCTAGTCCAGTACTACCTCTAATTTATACATGTAGGTGTCTGCACTTACTTTTAAAGTATTTATACATATTTTATTAAATATAGGTCAAAAAGGGAACATGTTTGTACTTGTTATTATAATTACTTGCCAAGGAACATTGCTTTCCCTGTACAACTAACAAGTTAAATACTGGCCAGATGGGGAAAATGGTATTTAATGTACAAATACTTGTAGATGTCTGGATATAAAATACTGTGTGGAACATAAGATAAAGATTCTGTGCCAATAAGATCAGTAAACTACTAAAGAAAACATTAGTTTCCATAGATAAACTAAAACTACCAAAATTTCATTTTCTGAAGATAAACATATAAGCTACTTTGTTCATTGTGTGTGCATGTGTATATAGTCTAAAAGATTTGTTGTTATAATATGTAAACATTAAAATGTTTGGTGTACAGTTACAAGTACATAATAATTTAGAGCTTTTATTTGTTTGTGTATACATGTACCTATAGAGATCATAAAGAACGAAGTATAAAACTGAAAGGTGTCACAAATGTTTTTACATCAAGGATTTTTTCAGTGAAAAATACGTGATCTACAGCTGAAAAATGTGTAGTTGAAAGTTTAATCATTTTACAACATATGAGTTTAATATGTAGAAGTGACTATTTTTACTGTCTTGAATACAATTTAGTTATCTGTTTTTTGATATCTATTACAAAAAAATGTATAGATTATTTAAATAAAGAATACAAATACTGTAAATAAGTAACCCTTCCTTTAGTATAGCAAAGGATTTTTAATCTTTGATGCACTATTTTCGTTTGTACATTATTGAACACAGTTATGGCACACATTCTGTGACTACCAACATAACTCAACATAACTTTTGTCATACATGATTTTTCACTCTTGAGACAGTGAATTAATTGTAGAAAACACAGTACTTTTTATTACCCTAGTAATAACAGTGAAAATAAGAGTAAATATTATGTTTTTCCATAATACAGAAAATTAATCAGTGTTTCAAAATAAAAACTTATTCATTTAAAATATTAATTTTGTAAAAAGTATGCTAAGGTCAAGGTTCATGTAACAACTAATATAATTATTCCTTATTATTCAAATAACATTGCAAAACTAAATTTTCATAAATAATGTAATTAATCACAATTTAAACCATACAATATACTGTTATTATTGAATTTTGTGAATAAACAATGAAATTATATAAGCTGACTAAAGCACTGTTTAATAATATCTATATTTTAAAAAACTGTTATTTACCATTTTATGAAGATGTTTTTATTTATTTTTTCAACATTATTGTAAAACATAGGGATAAACTTTAAAACAAATGGAAATTTTAGAAGTTGTTTATCGGATTTTCTTCTGTTAATTATTTTTTGTCATCACATATAACCATGTTCTATGCCTACAGCTTGAATAGTTGTGGTATTTTGATTGACTAGCTTGGAGTATTTCAAGGATGCACCAATAGTACTAGGCTTACATGTATAAGAAAGGACACAGAATATTACAAAAAACTTTAAAAAATGGTTAGTCCCATTTTGAAATGATAAACAAGTTAAGAGTTTTAATTAACCAAGGTAATTAGGCTACTGTTCTTAGCACTTAGATGCTGTTAGGTTTAGAGTTTAAAGTCAAGAGTATGCCTTTGAGAGATTGTTCCATGCATGTATCCAAGTGAAGAAGGAATAGTTAGAATTTTGAGTGAGTTAAAAACAATTTCCTGGTGAAATGAACATCAGAAAGTTGTTCTGTAAAGTGCATAAACAGAACTTACAATGGGTGAACTGTTCCAGTTTAGTTGCTAGTATATCTGAAATATCAAGTTCTAATTTTTCAGTATGGCTGTGACTTAAAATAATCCATAATTCATAGTCTTATATATATCATTAAGCACATTTTACTTGTTCATATGGTGTCTATGTTAAGATCACTTGTGACAACAATAAATTCTTACATAATGTAGTTTATAATAACATCAAAGTCTGCTCTTCAATCTCTAGTGAGAAACTTAAGTACTATTCTAAAACCTTTAATAATCCTCTCCATCTGTTCTATTTACAAAATTAAATTACCAAAGGAATGTGCCTTTCAGTTAAACAGTGGAAGAAAGGGTCAACACTCTAAGTAATAATAGTGCATGTGCTATTGGCTTTATCTTTATGAAACTTCCTAGTTAAAGTAGTTTTAGTTATGGTGTTAAAGTATGATGTAAATATTTTTCACTCATCACCACAATTGTACTGAGAATTTTTAGGAGAAAGAAATGTGAAACCCAGGTTTTTTTCTTGGGGGGGGGGGGGCTCAGTTCAAGTTAGATGGGTTTTGAGTAATTTCTTTTCAGTAACGTTAGACAAGGAATTGAATTGACTGGGTATTTTACATTTCTTTTATTGCTGAAAAATTCACAATTTTAATGATGAGAGAAAAACATGAAATTAAGTAGACTGTCCACTAAAGAATTTAGAAAACATTAATAGCAGTAATGCCTATATAAATGTAAGTTACTTTTGGTGACAATTTAAAAAACACCAAATATGCACTCATTCTAAATCACAGACAAATATTAAACCATCTGTTACTAAAGAAGCATACTTGGAGTATTTTAATTTCACAGAAATTGCACCTATTTCTTAACAAAATCTTATTGGTTTATACCTTAACCAATTCACTACTGCTGGGATGTATATTTCTCAGTATAATGGGAAATATACGTCCCAGCCACAGTGAAAGGGTTAATAGTAATATTATTATTAGCTTGATAACTATTATGAACAAATGGTGTAAATATCTCATGTACAAATTTTTTTCTTCATTTTTCAGCATAAATTTTGTCTTCGTAATATGAAAAACCTATAGTGTTGGTTTAATTTTGAGTTTTTGTTTTTTAAACGTATCATTGATAATATGTAATATTTCATATGTATGTACAAATTTGAAATAAAAATAATTAATGTGTATATCTGTTTGACATTCCGTTATAAACCTGAAGAATTAATACTTTTCAGTATTTTCACATGCATCTATATATAGGCATTACAATCTCTTTTATAAGATCAGACTTGAATAACTGAGAGTCATTAAGATATTATTTTGGAAACAAAGAAAAAAACTATAATAACAAAAGGCTAACCACAAAAAAGTTTTGACACTTTTTCTATTGAAATGTATGTTCTACTTTGTTCTGTATAACTTATTTGATCACAAGATTGGAATATGCAACTATACACATACTCATAAAAAAATTCCTTTCTGCTAAATTTAGATACCTATAAAAATACCTTCTTTAATCTTTGGAAATATAGTATGTAGCAAACAATGACTAAATCTATACTTTTTGGAAGATGCTTGTTATTTAACTGTGATTATTCTGTTTAAAGTAATTTATGTTTTAGTGGGTTAAAATTATTATTAAAATTCTTTTAAATGAGGCTTTTACTTTATGTCACTGATATTTGAAAACTCAATTCACCTTCCACAAGTATGGATACTAAACAAAAAAAGTTTGTTATTTCTTTTTACAAATTAATAAATGTAAGTTTAAGATCTGCCATGAAAACGTACTATTCAGAAACAACAACAAAACTTGCAAAGCAAAGTTCAAACACTAGTATATAGAAAATTAATCTTTGATTTATATACATATACAAGTCCAGTAAAAGTTTCCATCATTGTATTATTTTTCTTTTTACATCCTGTCATCTTGTATGTACATCAAAAAACTAAATGTTATTAACATAAGTTAAAAACTATACACTTAAATAAATTGTATTAATTCTATTTGTTAATAACATAAAGAGTACATCACCAAATGCATGTTTATGTGAATGAAAACTGTGCCACTGTAATTAGCCTCTTACAACACAAACAGTTATAACTAGAGTAAGATTCTGTTCCTCAAGACTTCGTTGCTATTTACCATACCAGGAAGCAGTGTAATTAGTTCATGTTAAAAACTGTCTACATGTATTAATAAATACAAAGAACAAAATGCAATCATAAGTTTGAAATCATATCTCTTTTTGTTTCACTAAATTGCTGGTAGTATGGAAGTTTTTAGAATCATGACAAATCTATTTTGCAAAAATACTGAAATATAAGTATATTGTACAAATTTATAATATTTTAAGTTACATTCTGCTGATGAAATAATGAAGACAATGTTCTAATGAATCAAAATTTCATTCATCCCTCTACAAGTTCACCAGCAGATCACTCATTAAAACATTTTCATCAGTTGGTTACCGTTTGTAAACAGTGTCAAACAATATGCGTGTTGTACGATACCTTATTTCTGTAAGTCTTATGCTCAGGACCAGTTTATGTTACAACTCTCTTGTCTGGAGTGGGGAAAAACAGATAATATAAACATAAGATATAATAAACACAATAGAAGTTTAGTATATACTTGGTTCACAAAAAAAGGGGATAAAACGCAAGAAACATACCAGAAAGTAAAAGAATGCAGTTTTTAAACTTGTGTTTTAAATTACAATATCAACATTCAACAAATTTTTGGGTTATTTAAAACTATGTTTTTTCCATAGGCCATAACAGTACCTATCAATAAAAGAAGAACTGCTTTTCAGTGTCAAGCAAATACTGCTTTCCCTTGTTAACCCTTTTACCACAGAAAGTGACTATAGTCAATGGAAGATTAATTGTCATTGACAGCAGAGATTGACTTTTCTCCATGATCATCAAAAAATTCTTCCCTCTACAGCAAAAAGCAACAACCCTCCACAGGCTTGAATTGACTACCAAACAGTGGGTGTGCTGACATCTGGGAGCATGAGTGGGAACACAGAGATATCATCTGATTGTTGTATTTTCTCTGTGTTTTTACCCTAGTTTAGGTAAGTTATTGATGTCAAAACATCAAGACATGCAATGGAAGTGTGACTTATATATATCATAATGCATAATACAGCAAAATATACTGCTAATTATGATTTTTTTTTTATGGAGGAATGACACTGATTGTGGACTGACCCTTAAATCTAATTATGCAGTGAAAGGGTTAAGATGTATGTGTATGGAGAAAGTACACCCTTATAACAGCAATATCTAGGTATCATTATTACACAATATATTTTTACAAAAGTGTAACTTAGCTATGAATGACATTACAAGAACAGAGATTTCATATATCAGAAAATAATTACCTCATTTGCACTAGCTCAAATATATTTGAGTGTATGAAATTTCTAACAAAGTAGTTTTGTTCAAATCAATCCTTTTGTTCTGTTATAAAATATTTCATGTTTTTTGTACCTACATACAGCACTTGAACAAGACATAAATTTACAGTTGTAAGGTGAATCTACTCAATTTAATTTAAGCTCATACACACTCTCAGAACAGAACACTGGTAACATATCAATGATCTGAGATTACATTATTATACAGCACTAGTGCTGGGTGATTAAATCAATTAATGTCATAAAAAATTGAAAATTAGTGTTTTTGTTTACTCCAACTATTCAAGGAAACAGAATATTTCTATTATGATTTCTCATTAGAAATAAATAAAAAACCCTACTACTACACTTACTAACGTAAGTAACGTTACTAACGTAAGTACTACGGGTTAGGTTAGGTTTTAGTTTTATTTTACTTATTACTAGACTTACTTG